AGAGCCTGTAGAATTGCTCAAAAGACTCATTCCACTAGAGGCCTTAGAAACCTAGATAGCCTCACTCAGTCTGCTGTACACAAGTCCTGTCTTACAATTGCATCTTGGGTGCAGCCCCTGTGTGACTTTGGTGTGTGTGCCTCCTTGTGTCCTGCCACTGTGATTATAATAGCCTACTTCCATTCCATGGCATCCCTGACTCATCTTCCTGAGTTGCTTCTGATGTAGTGTCCCATGAATGTGTTATGGCACAAATGTACAAACAATCTACAAAATATTAGACTTTCTCTAATAGCTAACCACAGAAAATCTTGAGATATGTTTGTGCATTTCTGTGTGTATGTGTGTGTGAGTGCATATAAGTGTGTCTGTCTGAGTGATAGAAAATTTTGTGCTGCTGTTTAGACAAATTCTTAGCTATGTCACTGGTTTTTGTTCACATGGAGGAGGAAAAAGAAAGGGTAAGAATTTGAAAAGTACCTAATAATGCCCACTCAAAGAGACAGATCACAACTCTCCACCAATTCAGTGTGAGATGCACTTAGTTACTTCTTTCCAAAGAGTACAGCAGGGGGGGTAGTAACTTTACGGTAAGGAAAAATGACAAACACTACCTCAGTCAGGTGATCTAGGACAACATCCATAGTGATATGTCATATTTCTAGGATTTACCCTTGATAATGATGTGATGATAATGACCCTTCAGTTCTGTGGCCTTCCTCTCAGAACACATTATCCCAATCTAATCATGAGACAAACATCAGACAAATACCAATTGAAGTTCATTCTGCAAAGTACTTGAGCAGTATCCCTTAAAACTCTCCTGTCATTAGAAACAAGGACTTAGAAACTATCACAGCCTATGGAGAGACATGATTAATAAGTGTAATGTGCTATCCTGAATGAGATCTTGGAATGGAAAAAGGAGTTTAGGAAGAAACTAAGCAAATCTGAGTAAAATATGGACTTTAATTAATAATATTGTATCAATATTGGCTCATCAATTTTGACAAATAGAGCACACTCATTAAAACTATTAACCAGAGGGAAAAGTCCATGCAGTGTGTACAGGAATTCTCTGAACCATCTTTACAAATTATTTGTATATACAATTTATTTCTAAATGCCTTAACCACTGTACCACCAGAGCTCCTTACCTGAACATAAACAAAATGAAAATCCTCACATCTGGACCAATAAACATCATGATTAATGGCAAATAAAATGAAGTTGTCAAGGAGCTCATTTTTCTTGAATCAACAGACAATTCAATATTTATGAAAGTAGCATTCAGGAAATCAATGAAATATTGCATTGGCCAAATTTGATGTGAAAGACTGCCTTAAAATGTTAGAAAGCAAATATGTCACTCTTATGACTAAGTTGTGTCTGATCCAAGCTATGGCATTTCCACTTGTCTCATATGCATGTGAAGGCTTGGCAATGAGAAAGGAAGACAGAAGAACTGACACGTGCTTAAACTGTGATGTTTGCATAGAATATTAAATGTACCAAGGACTACCAGAAGAATGAACAAATTTGTCTTGGATGAAGTTCAGTCAGAATGCTCCTTAGAAGCTAGGATGGCGAGGCTTTGTCTTGCTTACTTTAAATATGTCATCAGAAGGGGCTGATCACTGGAGAAACATCATGGTTGGTGAAGTAGATGGTCATGGAAAAAGAGGGAGTCCCTCAGTGAGACAGACTGACACAGTGGCATTAACAATGGGCTCAAAAATAGTAACCGAAGTAAGGATGGTGCAGGACCTGACAACATTTGGTTCTGTTATAATACATAAAGTCATTAAGAGTCTGAGGAGGACAGAGTGCACCTAACATAAAAAAATGCAGAGAGACACTTGATAGTAACAGTATTTTTAATTTTAAAAAAGATTAATTTGCACTATTCTTTTTGGAAAACAGTTCATTTTTTAACCTCACTAAATGATAAATTTGAAACAATGTACAATCTTACATAAGTTTATACATGACAATATACTCATTAAATTCACAATAGTTCTCAAATCTGGCTGCATATTAGAATAAATTTGTAATATAAGCTTATAAAAATACGGTCACCAACAAGAAGATATAACCATAATAAATATCTATGGACCAAATGAAAGAGCCCCAAAATACATAAATAAGACTTTAAAAGAGTTGAAGAGGCAAATAGATAATTCCACAGTCATAGTAGGAGACTTTAATACACCACTTTCAATGAAAGATAGAACAAGTAGAAAGAAACTCAACAAAGATGCAGAAGAGCTAAACAACACAATCCACCAACTTGACCTTATAGACATCGACAGAGCATTTCGCCCAACAACAGCACAATATACATTCTTTTCCACTGCACATGGAACGTTATCCATGATAGACCACATGCTAGGCCATAAAGCAAACCTTCAACCTTCATAAATTTAAAAACATTGAAATACTGCAAAGCATTTTCTCAGATCACAATGCTGTCAAATTAGAAATCAACAATAAGAAGATCAATCCAATAATATGGATAAACTTGGAAGACATGCTGAGTGAAATAAGTCAATCATAGTGGGACAAATATTGTATTAGTCTGTTATTGTAAAAGTCAAGGAACAGTTTATATATAGAAGGAAATTTTCTTTGTTGGTTACCAGGGGTTGGAGGGGAGGGGAGGGAACACTGTTAGATAAGTAGAGATAAGTATTGACTTGGGTGAAGAGAAGTGCAATGTATCAAATGTGAGTGCTCAATATGGTGGCATTGAGGAAGAGGAAAACATAGAGAGGTACATGGGAGGTACAGACAACAAAGATGAACCGTTTTGCACACACAGTACTGAGTTGTTCAGTGAAGGCAAACATGGGTATACAGGTGGATAGATGGGTGGACAGGCTGAACTGTTAGGTATGTCTATGCAGCAGGGAGTGTACCCAAGACCATGTATAGGGTTGGCAGACAATGGTTCTACAAGTGTATTTATATGTTCTGTAAGAATTCCCAGGGGTATAGTAAAACTGACAAGAGACAAGGTTGTAGTCACTTCTTGGTCACAGCCAGCTACCCAGAGGGACTGAGTAGTTGAACTTGTGGGTTTGAGACCATAGTCGCAGGGGACATCAAGCTCAATTGGCATAACATACTACACAAAACATTGTTCTACCTCCTACTTTGGTAAGTAGAGACTGGGATCTTAAAAGAGTGCAAGCAGCCATCTAAATGCAACAATGGGTCTCTCCTCGTCCAGAGCAAAGAAGAATGAAGAAAACCAAAGATTCATGGAAAGAATTAGTCCTCACAACTGATGTTGTTGTTGTTGTTATGTGCCGTCGAGTCGGCCCCAACTCATAGCGACCCCTCCTTGGGTTTCCGAGGCAGTATCACTACGGAAGTAGGATTGCCCAACCTTCCTTCCGAGGAGTGGCTGGGGGGGTTGAATCGCCAGCCGTCTGGTTAGCAGGCAAGTGTCTTAGCCACTATGCTACCAGAGCTCCTCACAACTGATACACCATGCAATCCTCAGCCTATATGACTATGAGACCAAAAGAACTAGATGGTGCCCAGGTACCACTGTCAGCCCCTCGGAGGGGGATCTATGTAGGAGATCCTGGATAGAGAGGGAGAACATTGTGGAGCAAAACTCAAAATCATTTGGAGGAAAAAAAAAAAAGAAGGGGACCAGGTTTGCTGGTGCGATAGAGCCTGGTGGAACCACTGAGACTATGGTCCCTAGCTGCCCTTCAGGTCTGGAATTGAACCCACACCTGTGATCTTCCAAACAAAAGACAGGCATAAGAGTTGATCATGTATCTGAGATAGATTCACTCCTTGGAGAGAACAATCATGGGAGAAAGAAGGGCTGCTTATGCACAGGGAGACAGTGCAGGGACAGGAGTGCATGGAGGAATGGACACAGGGAAGAGGCAACTATCAGGAGGAAGTGGGAGGGGAGCTGTTGCATTAGGGTAAATTGTAGTCAATGTCATGAGACAATGTGTGTGTGAACTGCTGTATGGAAAGTGAATTGCTCTGTAAACTTTCACCCAAAGCACAATAAAAAGTAAAATAAAATAAAAAAATAAGCAATACCAGTTTGAGACAACAGACAATACCATTGTATATAACTGTTGACAATATCCTCTTCTGCTTAATCCCCCTACACACCATAACCAACGTGACTATTTTTTTACATATTTTTTCACATCCTTATCTATGCTGATATAATGAACAAACAAATAAAAAAAAAGCAAAACAAAAATAAGGTCACCAAATTCCACCAGATTGTGAATCCTTACTTATCTAAAGAACTTTAATCATGTGTTTTTGTCTACCTTCAATGTCTTGTGGGTAGTAGGTGCTTAATAGATGTTCAGTCATTGCTTAATTGAATTGAGAATGTGCCTAAACAAACAAGTGGCACTTTTAACCTACTTAACTCACACTCGGAGGGCCAATGCTCTGAACTGGAGTGTGTCTAGCACAGAACAGGCAGGAAGGTGAGTCCTTGTAACCCACATCATATGACTGATGGTCAAAGGAACTGAAAATATGAAACCTGCATAAGAGGGATATTTGGAGATGTATAAAGGAGTGGGATATTCGTGCTTTTGTGTTTTCACAAAGTTGTCATTAGCAAAAGAGAGGGAACTTACTCTGTACTGCTGTTAAGACCTCAATCTGATGGACAGATGTTAAGGAGGGCAGGTCTCAATTCTGGGAAGGAAGCTGTTCTTCAACCAATTTCACCAGTAGAATGCTTTTCTCCCAATGCAATGAATTCCTCAATGTCAAAAGCATTCAACAGAGGATACTAAACATTCCTCATTAAAGGATGATTCCACTGATTTCATGAACTTGGTAGAATTATCTTTCACTGATTAAATAACTAACAAGTTAAAGAAATGTACAAATTCAACTCCTTGGTGTATTTGTACATATGTCTTTTTCATATATGGAGTCTAAATGCCTAATGCTATAATTTGTGTGTTTCCTTTTTTTTTCCTGTTTATTTGCAGGCTCATATGTTGTTTAATACCTTAAAGGTGAAGAAGACCGAGTCCACTTTGTATGCAACCGAACTGAGCCTTCCAGAATATTTTGATGTCCCCAAGAAAATCTACATCCCTGAGTTTCCAGAAAGTCAAGATAAAGTGACTCATTCTCAAGGATTTCAACCTGAAATTTATCAGTCTATCAGTAACACGTGAAATATAACATATAGCACCACTCGAGAAACTGTGGAGTACGAAAGTACAAAGAAGAGATTCCCTCTACATATAAGCAGCTTAAAACATAGGGGAACAGATGGTGTCGTCACATGAATACCAATGGTTGGTTAATATTTTGTATTGTAAATTATCAATCTATTATGTCATAGTCATATAAACTTCGTACTAAATTTGGGGGCAAAAACACTGGTACTGAAATGTGTGAAGCTGTGTTTCTTAAACACCAATTATCTGATAAAGATAGTAAGTGAGTTTGGGAAAGGAGTTCTTGCTCTGAGAATGAGCTTGGTAATAGAAATTGTGGGCTGGAGTTGAGGCTTAGGATGGCTCTCAAAGATAGGTGTAATTTTTTATTAGAAGAGAACAATGTATCATTCATGAGTAATTTACCTTTGATCTGGTATTTATCAATAAAGTACTTAGTTTTGGCTTCTCCATGTACCTTATTTTGTTGCTGGATCAGAAGTGAATAATTCATATATGATATAAATACTGACACATTTACATTATTAAATACACGTGATAAGATATAAATAATGTGAGTAAATATTTTTAATGATCCAGTTTTCTTTACTCTTACTTCCTTCCAAGCAGTTGAACTATAATAGGAATGTGATTTCCTATATATTCCTAGAATAAGTAAGAATTCTAGTGTCACAGACCTTAAGTTACAATTTTGTTCAATTCAGTCCTATTAAGTTTTCTTTTTTCTTTCTTCTATGTGTTTGTGTTAACTATAAAAATATTTCTAAGTCTGAAATGGTGGTTACAAATACTAAATTATAGGGTAATCTGTCATTTGACCTTCCCAGGAGAGCTGGGAGCCCAAATTCTAAATCTAAGGGGCTAAGTTGGTAAAATGATGAAGAAAATGGTTGTAGTATAAGACAATAGGGATGATGGAGCCTGTGGAAACCTACAAAGTAGATTTCCTGACAGAGTATTTCATTTTCGAACAAGAATCTGAAGACCGAGTCATCCCCCAAATCTATGGGGACAGATTTATCTTACCAAAGCCTGGTACCTCTCATCTTCAGTTGCTTTTCCTTTTGTTCTTGTTACTGCCAGGTTTTAAATGTGATCCTACATGTAAATGACTAACTTTTTTTGAACAAGAAGTTGCAGCTACTTTATGTATCCTAAAACTAAAGCTTAGGCAGTCAGTCCAAGGCATTCATTTATTCAGTCACTCATTCAACAGCACTTTTGAGCAAAATGATACAAATTTCAATCTTCTTTCCTTTGGAGAACACACAGCTAAGTAGCTCTTACAACACAATGAGATAAGTACTATTGATATTGGTAGAGAGGAACTTAAATAAAATTATTTACAAATAAAACTAAGAATTGATATTTGATTACAGAGGATTATTCAAATGTTAAGGAATTTCACTTTGAGAATTATGAGAAAGCACATGTATATTATTATCCAGTTGCCTGAAAGGAAATGAAAAAACAGAATAGAGTTGACATAAAACTCAAAGTATACATACACTTGCTAAACACTAATGAAGTGATATATAAAATGTGTTACTAATATTTTTCTAAATATGATTTTTTCCTTCATTTCTATTGTTAATTATCCATTTAAGTAAAAAGATTATAGTGAAAATTAAGTAAAATAGAACTAGAAAGAATTCTTAAAATGAGCTACAATTTTTAAAACACAATTTGCCTACTTAAGTTCAAATCTAACTTGGACATGTCATTAACAGCCGATATATTAGAATTAGGGAAAGTACCAAGAAAATCCACATGATTGCGATAACAAAAATTGCCATACATTGATAAGATTTATGGAAAGTTTCCTATTAAATAATTTACCTCAATTGGTGATAAAATTGTTGAACATCTCAACATCTCCAGATTTGGAAATTCTATGGGATAGTTCTACTCTGTCTTGTAGAGTCTCTGTGAGTTAGAATTGACATGACAACACAGGTTCACTGTGTCCCAGATAGTGTTGACACTCCAGGTTTACACAAGTAATGAAAGCATGACCTCTGCCCTGTTGAGCAGGGACACACAGACAATAAAGAGTAGATATAATAACAAGCAAGGTTTTTAGTATGTAGTAAGTGGTACAGGCTCTAGGAAAAATAAAAAGAGCAGGGAACGGTCATGGGGATTGCCAGGGATTGAGGGTAGGTCTCACTATGATACAGGGTGGAAAGGAGAGGGTTCCTTAAGAGGATGAGTTTTAGCAGAGATCTGAAGTCAAGTAGGGAGTTATATATCTGCGGGGAGGAGATCCTTTTAAGCTGAGGGAATAGCTGGTGCTATCTCATCAAATTGTCTCACTTTTGTGGGATAGTATATAGTCCAAGTTCCTTCTTAGAGATCCTGTGGTCTCAGTGGTCAGGAAGTCGTCTGGTGGAATGAACAGATCAGTGAATCAGGTATTTTTCTTCCAAGTCACTGCCAAGTCCCAGGTCCTACATTTTATAAGAAAAACCCTATGAAGATTGCAAGTCATCTTTGTGAGGGACAAAGGAGCATAAGAAACTGCTGCTTTTCAGAAGGAGCAGCAATTTCTTCTCCTCCTCTGCAGTTCATAGCATCTCCAGCCCTCCTAGTACTCTCTTGCTGGCTGTCTCCAGATTCTTCTGTTTTCCTTCCTCTCCAGTTTTACTGATGCCATGATTAATCTATGCTGCTCACATTCAAAAGAGTAGATACTTCATACTGTCATTCTCTACTTTCATGTTCTCTTGAAAAATTTTGTAATAATCATTTAAATATTAGTTTTTTAATGCACCTGGAATTTTTTTGGGGTATAGTCTGAGGGAGGTTTCCAGTTGTGTTTCTTTCCTGTATGAGTACTCCATTGTACCACTGTCATTTATTGAGATGACTGTCCTTTTCCCATCGATCTACAGTGATATCTTTCTCAAATATTAAGGACTCTGTTTTTTTCTATACTCTAGAGTTCCACTGGTCTATCTATCCCTTCACCTACACTACACTACACTTTTTAGGTAATATAACTCTTTATTATTAACTACCATATGACAGAATAAATATTTTTATCTTCTTGCTTGAGAGTATCTTAGCTGTACATGAGCATTACATTTCCCTTGAAGTTTTAATCGCCAGTTTATCCCATTTCACATGTACCCAGTCACAAAAAAGCCTCCTGGATTTTGGACCAGGAGAGCAATAATCTGAAGATTAAAATTGGGGGTAATTAACTAATTTACAATATCAAATCTGCCTATTCATGACCCATTGTACTATGATGTTAATGAAGGCTTTTTGTAATATATTTAAATTCTATTTTTAAAATTTTTCATCATTTTCTTATAATGTAGGGTTAAGCTATTCTGCAGTATTTGAAATATTATTATTATAGTTTACAAGGTATATTTTAATTAATTGTCATACTGTCTGTTCCTTAAAAATAAAGTTCAATTTTGTACATTGATCTTACACCAAACAAGAGTTCTATGCCAGTTTATTGATTAAATAGAATGTCCGTTTTCTCATGTAGTGTCTAATCATGTCCTAACTGTGGGAAGTTTGTTTCTTCTTTTCTGATCCTTGATGTTTTAATTTCTTCAGGTTCCTAATACTACAACGGCTGTATGTATATTAGAATTTGTAGGAAAATGTGGATAGACATTCTATTTTAGTTGCCAATTTCAAAATGGTAACTGCCTCACAAAGCCCTGTGCCTGCTGTCAGCCTTGGGAGGCCTCAGCACTGAAGTCTGAAAGCTTTTCTGATGATGTCTGCCTCCAGTGTCTGTGACATAGGAAGTTGATCTGACGATTGCAGCAACTGCTCCATAAAAGGGATAATTCACAGATCCTGAGATGTGTCAAGGTAAAACATTGAGTGGGGCTGAGACAACTCCTCATTTCAGAAAAGAGGAGCCCCAATGTAAGATCCAAGCCCCCACCATGTGATTGCTCCTGGTAAGCCCTGCAGGAAGGAGTCAGGCTGAAGCCCTGTGACTTCCACCTAGGGTATCCCAAGAGAGGTGATGGCGTTTTACTGAGGAGATATACTTCAGTCGAGAAAGGGGGAATTTGCAGGTCCTGTACTGGGTGTAAGTACAGACTGGACTCGGAATGAGAAATGAGGGGATGACCCACCCCAGAACTGAGAACCCACTGCCATGGACTTGATTCCTACTCATAGTGACCTCACCCCACTGAGTTTCCAAGATTGTAAATTTTTAAGGAAGTAGAGTCCCTCCTCGTCCTCCTG